TCCGGGGAGGGTCTGTAAATACTTTTACTCCGTCTAAGGGAAGGAACGAAACGGAGATAAAAACGTAAATATAAAATTTAACTATCATTAATAATAGCTAGCATCTAATGGTTACTCGAGGTTTCGCCCGATTCCATTGGAATGCTAGTACCCAACATATGGGGTCTTGTATTATAAAACTCTATACTAAACACTTATTAACTTTACTTGCATATACATGGTTTCAATTTCTGTATCACATTGTTAATAAGTATTCCTTACTTTTCTTCACTGGATAAATCACATCAATCTTAGACTTCTACTATTTCTACTTAACACATAACTTTCCTCGCCTATTTCTTTCATTCTTTTCGATTGCACGACCAAATGGGTCGCTTTGTCTCATAGACAATCACCTCTTCGACCAAATGGGTCGCACTGTCAAATTGACAGTTTCACTTCTCAATTAAAACAAAATCATTTTATTACAGACAAATCACAATCAAACGATTTCATTTCATTTCTCATTTTATTCTTCCTCAAACCCTGGCAGAGCTAGACTTCCCTTACGCAAAGACCCATTCTAGAGAAGTACATACATATTTTATCATCTAATTTGTAGACTAACCTCTAGTTTTTCTTTGTCCTCGTCGCTTAGTAAAGAGATAATGGGGAGACCACCCCAACCCTTCAAGTCTATGTCCATTAGGATTGCGGCCAATGCAGGCTTCATTGGCTGTAATTAACACACATAAAAAATGACTAAACAACTTATTATAATTACCTCATAGTTTCCAATTTTTAGCGTACTTCTCCTCATACTTATATCAGGACATCTTTTGTTCTTACTGGCATAAAGTTCGCGTAATGTTTTTCTTATGTACAATCTAAATAAAATCACTATATAACTATATAGTTATAGTTTTTCATCAATCTTACCCTAATCGATCCTCGTCTTGCAAAGTAATGGTCTTTTCTCGTGAAATTACTATGTTCGTACCATTACTTTTATTGTGTTCAAACAAGTACTTTCTACCGGTGGTCATGAAATACTTCCAGAAAGAATAGGATATTTTCACCTATAATAACATATAACATTATATAAAATTATCAATAATATACTACTCTTATAGCGAGAATGTCGTTGCTCTTTCCAGCTGGTGCAGGCCAGCTAAAATATTCTTTCATATCATCAGGAATCCTAAATGATGTATTATCCCAAGATAAAACAAGAAATAAATGTATATGATTCCTACTTCAACACATCTTCTGCGAAATCTTTCAATAGGTTATCCATTTTTTTGCGATATGGATTCGCAAGCCCGGTTATACGCACCCACTCTAATGACACTTTGCGGTTTATATGTTCTTGATGAATTTTCAACTTTTTCTTTACAA